CTAAGATTACTTTTCACTTAAGGTCCCCATATGTCCAGATGGGGACCTTAAGTGAAAAGTACCTAGTAGTTTTAGTAGTTTTGCCTGGACGCTGCCTTTAAATAAGAGTGAGGTTTACCATTAATATTGCACAAAATTGTGCCTTTTTGCACCATACTGTTTGCTACCGTGATTCAATTTGCAAGAAACGTTAGACTGGCTTGCATTTGGTGCGAATATGCCCCGCCGCAATTTTGATTTCAGAAACCACGATTTTGTCAGTGAAAAATCAAGACTAGAAATATCAAGCCTTCCCTACGTTTCTTCGCAGCTAAAGAAACCTTTGCATGTTTTGTGAAAAAATTGAAGAGAACAGAAACTTGCGCCACCGACCTTTGCATTATATAAATCCTTGAGATTATCAGCGAACAAGTCTCCAATAAACTTCTGATACCACTGCGACTGTGATATCTTTGCACCATACCGCCGCTGACGGCAAACGCCAAAACAAAGTGTCACAAAACTGCTTGTTCAGCTTCGAATTGGGAAGGGATGTGCTTCAGTATTAAATACCCATCGGTCCAATGGCAAGATCGAGTCGTCGGCAAAGATCAAGTACAGATATTTGAATAGTTCGGCAAACACAAATGACTGTTGCACGTCATCGTACTGAACCGCAACAGTGTACACATCACGAATTCCTGAGTAGCCGGCGTCCACCTGGACAACAAATTAAACATATGAGAAAATGTTCAGAATCTAATAAAAAAGACAAAACAGCAGAAATAGTAAAGTTGCTGTATGATTTTCTAGGGTCGCGAAAAAAAGGGAGCAAATTTCGTCTAAAAACTGACCTTGGCGTACTTCTCCAATGCTTGAACTACGTTCCAAGCCCATTCGCGGTATTTGTCTTGCTTAGTTATACGCCAAAGATAGAACCACGTTTCGACCACCTAAATAACTGTTTTTGTACCTTTATTAGGCCTCAATTACAACGAACTTCCTCAGCATTAACAAATTTAAAATGAAGAATAGAGAAAGAATAGAAAAAACTTGCTTTGTTTCTCCTTGCAACTCATTTTAGATGATTAGCAGTAACATTCCAGCATATAAAATTGCGCAAAGTGAATTTTTTACCGCTTATGTGTAGTGTTGAGTGACCATAAGTTGCCAACAACGGTTGCTGAGGTCGCAGGGGTTGCCGAGGTTGCCGGCATTATCATCAAAGACAGCTTAGGCATGCGCCATACTTGATCCGCTTGATCCAATTGATCCGCTTCGTCAATGGCCTATTCAGTAAACTGAACAATAGCAAGGCGGTTGGGTTGCCTATTTGATCCGCTTGATCCGCTTCATCCACTTCACTATTGG